CACCTGCTGGGACAGAGTTGGCTTTCACACAAGTGCATCTGAGCCTTTCCCTGCCCAAGCCTTCTATGGGGTACCAGAATGTGAATTACAGAAAAATTTCCTACTCTGTAGTCTTGGTTAACTCCCACCCACAGTGACACAAATTATGGCAGGGAAAGATGAACCTAAGAAGTTGGTTTAGAAACACGGATAGTCCCCAAGGCCTCCGTGTCAGCTGGCAAAAAATAAAAATTCCAATAGCTATAAAGACCAAGACTAAAAAGGGGGGGGTTCTCTTGCCAATATTTTTGGACAGTGAATAAACCAGCTGCAGAAGATGGGGAACAGAGCCAGGAATATAAAGTGAAGGGGGCGGAGAGAGGGCCGTGAGAGCATTCCAAGCCCAAGACACACACAGCAATGAGATTTGGACATCCTTGTGAAATATCAAGGCAGCAGGCCTGGTGATTTAAGGAGTGAGATGGGGAGAGGATGCTGTTTTGGTCAGAACTTGGCTCTGAGGCCTTGGTCAGCTGTGCTTTGTAACAATCACCACATCAGGCCCTCCTGCAGGAGCAGGCTGGAGACTATGGCCTGGACTTCATAAAACACATCTGTGTCTGTATCACTTTGAGAAGCACCTGAGATGGCTGCTAAGCCACCCACACAAGGCCTGCCCATCTCTTCCCATTCACCTGGGCTGGATCCATGAAGGTGAGAAACTTTGTAGAAAACTACAAATGAAGAAAGAACATGTTATTTCTGATCAGGACAGGAGATAGAGCTGCACTGTCACTGCAAAAGATTGGACAGACTCTCAAGGCGTAAATATTACAGGAGCAAAAAAGATATTGTTTCTCTCACTTGGGCTAAACAAGGCTTGTTACATGTTGGAGCTTGCTCTTGAGATGATGCTGAGTGCTCTAACTATGAGCTATAACCTCGCCGGGGGAAGGGTGAGCAAGAGTGACAGGTGGGCCTCATGTGGTTGTTCACAGCATCTGGGCCTCAGCAAGGTGACATCGTCCAAGGGCAGGAGGCCTACCTGGTGATCTGCCTTTTTGGCCTAATAATTTATGATGACCTTTGTGTTTTAGGGGAAATAATATTAGGGATGTGTTTTCTGGCACTGGAATTGCAGAGACTGCTTTTCTTGGGCAAGCACGCACCCAAGCAGTAAGGCAGTCAGCACCTGTTATGGAGTGGCTTCTTTGCCATAGGCACAAAGGAAGGCTGGCATCCAAATAGGTGGGGCCCATCCTGGACCTTCATGGAGCACAAGGGCCAGTGGGAAGGACCAAGTCAGAACACGTGTGCTAATATATCACAGTAATAACCAGTTGTTATAATGCCTGTTGTGTTAGGAAGAGATGCTGAGTCAAGCAGCACCCACTCTAAAAGAGTGTCGGGGACTAAGACATTAAAACCCGAAGTGGGGCAAAGGAAAGTCAGGGAGTAGGAAGAGAGCACTGATCGAGGTCCTGAGGTTAAAATCACAGTGGCTGAGGAGCAGAAAGAAGGCTTCGGGGAGAGAGCTGAATGATGACCCTTCTGCCTCCCAAAAGATGGACCCAGTTGGAACCTGTGCATGCCATCTTATTTGGAGAAAGGATCTTCTTGGCAGATGTAATTAAGTTGAGGATCTTGAGATGAGCTCATCCTGGATTAGAGTGGGCCCTAAATCCAGTGACAAGTGTCCTTCTGAGAAAAGAAAGTGTGAGAAGACACACAGGAAAGACAACACGTGAAGACAGAGGCAGAGATTGAAATGACATGTCTACAAGCCAAGGAAGGCCAAAGATTGCCGGCAGCCACCAGAGGCCAAGAGAGAGGCAGGAAATGAATTCACCTTTAGAGTTTCAAGAAGGAATAGAACCCACTGACACCCTACTTTTGGACTTCTGGTTTCCAGAAGTGGCTTCCAAACCCAGTCCACTACCAACTACCTGTGTAACCTTGGTTAAGTTACCTAACTTCTCTATGATTTGCTTTTTTTTCTTTTTCTGTATAATGGGGATAAAAAATAATGCCTCTCCCATAGGGCTGCATTCAATGATTTACTAGATAAATGTCTAAGGGCACTTGGCACATGAGAAGGGCCTTCTGCATTTGCCATTCTTATCATGACCAGATGTGGAGGAGAAAAGGACACACAAAGATGCCGCATGGACTCAGGGGCTTTGGACTCAAGCAGTGGAAATGGCGGTGTTATTTACCGAGAAGGGAGACGTGAGTTGGGCGGGGAAGTTACGGTTTAGAAAGGGTCCAGTTTGAAGCATCTATCAGAAAACCAAGGGATGTTGGTGAGACTGTGCCCCTGGGGGTGGGCAGGGATTTTATCTGTCTTTGCTGATCATCATAGGCCCGCATTTAGCAGAGTCTAGAGTTCAGGCCCGGCAAGGTTTACTGATGGCACTGTGTTGAAAAAACTACCAGGAAAGAGTGTGCAGGGTTGGAAGGAGTGAGAACGCCACATTCTCTTTCTGGTAGTTCCACCATGGACCTGCCCCAAGGGGTGCTGCTGAATTACAGAGCTCAGACATGAAGATGCATCAATGCCCATAACAATCTAATGTGCCGAGACCAACAAACCCTCAGTGCCCACGTGCAGCATCCCCACAAACACCCCCATTCCTCCAGGACCGCAAACAGGAAGAAGAGCAACAGGAGAGAAAATTCATGGCCACCGTGGTGAGGGACCTGATAAAGAAGAGGAATGAAGTACGATCTTTATGACATTTTGTAATTTCCAGAACAGCCTCTCTCCTGGGACCATTGGACCTGGAGGCATAGGGCGAGATCCCAGTACATGAAGTCCCATGGCAGGCCAGGCCAGAGTAGGTATGTTAACACAAGCTCTCTGAATGACGGGGGTCTTTAGAAGGCTCCCCTTGTAAATGCTCTGTGGTATCCCAGAACAACCATGGATGTACAGGGCAGGAGACAGGTGGGACAGTGGCCAGGGTCCAGCCAAACCAAGAAGCCACAAAGCTTTGGAAAGTCTCCTCTTCAGGTTGGGGGAGGGTCACCCTAGCTAATGTCATCCCCCAAAACAGACAACACTGGGTCCCTTAAAAGTTGTGACTACTGCATTTGTCTAGCATTGATAACATCCTACTCTTGTAAATGTTGCCCTCACCTAAACACACTCTACATGTGGACCATCTCAGGACACAGGGTCCATTGGGCATTTAGAGGCTCTGAGATCCTCCTCCTGTGATGTTTACTGGGTGTCACCTGTCATGGGATAACATGCATAATGTGCCAGAGGAGACCAGTCTTCAGCCAGGGTCCACCAGCTCCAGTCGCAAACACGGAGCACCCATGACTACCACAACCCCTGCAAATTTCTCTCTGCACTTCGCAAAGCTTTAGGCAGTCCAGGTCAACTGGTGTCACACCTGTTCTTCTGTTAGTGCTAATAACAAGAGGGACTGCTTGACTGCTTATTAAATACAGACCGCCAACCTTCTGGGCATTCCCATGAATTATCCCAAATTATAGATGAAGAGACAAGTAATAGCCATCAGAGCTATCAGGAGGTGTACTTGGGTTAGAAGACTTGTCTGTCCTGGTTTTGAAGCCTGGTTTTGCCCACTCTGCCATGTCAACTCCCTCTAGTGGGGGAAACTGAGGCCAGAGAACGGGGGGGGGGGTCTCCCTTGAGGTCACGTGACCAGTAACCAACAAAGCCAGGGCCAAATCTCAGTGTGACGAACTTAAACCCAAAGCTCTCTTCATAGGGCCAGAGATCCAACTATTAACTTCAACTGGAGTAATGTAAAAACTAAAACCACTCTCTATTAATTCTCACCATTTAGTGAAATAGGGTTTCTAATTATCTACCCATCTGTGCTTTAACTTAAGGCACTGCTCCTAACAGATTAAACATCTACTATGTGCCAGGCACTCTGTGGGTGCTAGAGGGAAACATTTTAATAAAACACAAACATAATATATGATGCCAGTTCTTACAGTATTACTGGAAAATATGGTGTTCCCGCCTAAACTGTGAGCACACGCTTTCCTTTAACCCAGAGGTTCCCAACTTTGGCTAGTCATTAGAATCACCTGGGGAAATATAACATCTAATTCCTGGGTGCCACCCCCACAGCCAATGACTGAATTGGGTTTGAGGTGCAGCCTGGGCATCAGGATTTTTAAACACAAGAGGTATTTGTTAACTGTTCATCCACAGGACTTAACTGCAGATATTTCTTTTTAGTCATGATTTACAACTTGCTCGTTTTCAAAACTGACCTGATACAACTACTGACACACAAGGCATAGAAACATTATTAAAGAAATAATGAAAAACAGGAAAATTCAAGAAGAAAAGGAAAAACCCTGTGGTGAAGGAATTATTATAATTGCACACAAAATCTATCCCAGAGTTTTCTGGAATGAATGTACAAAAGTGAACAAGAAGGGTTCCGGCGTCACTAGAGTTGATAAAAAGGCTCTCCTTGTAAATGCCCTGTGTGAGAGAGAGAGAAAGGGAAAAAAAGCAAAATCTTTTTTTCCTGTCAAATAGTTCTAGAAGGACCTGTGAACAATATTTGGGTGGACAATACAGCTGAAGCCAGATACTTTGTGACTCATGAATGACTAGGCTGCTCCCACATCAGCTAGCAGCCAATTTGAAGGTTGGCCTCTCTTTCCTGAAGGTCCCTGGACTTCCCAAGAGTGACCCTTGACTTCATAAACCATGAAACAGGTGAGGAGGAGGACTATAATACAGCTGTCTTGGAAAATCTCTCCATCAAGGTCCAGGCAAGGACTGAAGGAGCCAGTTCACTGCAGGATGTTACTGTGTCCATGTCAACACAAAGAGGTAGGTAAGCTGAGATGCTGTTTGACACACATGAGGCCCCTGCACCCCAGATCTTGGCTCAATTTCATTTTCCTTATCTTCTGATTCTCAGTAGAGACACAACCCTGCTTTGTGTGAGGCCGTGAGAGCTGTAGTTGGGAAACCCCAATCGTGGCATGCTTGGGAACGCCTGGTTGGGTGGACTTACGGGGGGTTGTCACATTTCCTCTGCCGGAAGCGGGCTCCCGTCCCACACGTCCGGCTGCACATGCTCCAAGTGCTCCATGGGCTCCAGTCTCCGTCCACGTGCTCTGGAATGGGCGTCTTGCTCACACACTCCCCAGCACGGCACCACTGAAACACAGCAGGGGGGCCAGGGCCCAGGCACTCAGCAGAGCTGCCACTCAAGCCCAGAGGCCTATGATTCCCTCCATGCCAAAAGCTTCCAGGTGACATAAGTTGATTTCTGAAATTTACATCAAAGTATGCTTACTCAATCTGCCACTAGTATTCCTCTGGGGTTCGAATTTTGCCATTAACTCCACATGGGATGTGCTCCATTGGGATTTTCTAAATTTCTAGGAAAAGGATTAATCTACATGGCTCAAGAAGAGACCTGAGCTTCTGCAAACCACTTAACATGGGTATGTTTCTCTCTGGAAGGTAGCACTTCCTGGTTCTGAGGTTTTAAACCTCAGAGCTGGGTTTGGTGCTCAGAGATGACATAGCCAGCTCCACCTTGGTGAACCTTGGTTCTTTCTGAGGATAACAGGAAGCCAATCCTCTAAATCAGGATTTCCCAAAGTGCATGGCATGGACACTGGGGCACAAGATGTGATTTAGTGGTTCCCAATCACAGGATCACAATGGAACATTACTTCCTCTTTAATCCTCTTTCAATCCTTGCACTAAGACTATGGAGAAAGTCCCTGCACCTGCTGGTCCCCAATGTCTCTCCTCTGTAACACACACCCATGGCTCCTGCTCTCTTAACATCTAGCTGGAACTGGATAACACTATTCTCATCAAATTCATTTATGACAGCCTTTTGTATATGCAGGTGATACTGTTTTTCCATTTAAAGTATACTGATCATTTTCCTTTTAAGTAAATTCACTCACGTGACAAGAGGAATTAATCTACTGAAAACATCAAGTAAGTGATTCTTACATAAGAAAAAAAGTGAGGTGACACAGGTGACTTCTGTGCCCAGAGTGGGTTCTGTGATCATTTCTGTGGTGCCTAGGGATGTTTTGGGGACTCCTGAGCACAGACTACAGTCTTTCAGAAGGAGAGGCGCCAAGTGCCTAGGAGATGTGGGGCTGCCTGTGGGTGTACTGGGAGGCTGGAGGTTACCTTGTCTGCCCCACACTCGGTGCCATCCAGGGGAGGGTCCAGCTTGGTCTTGCAGGACGTGTCTCCTTCTACCAGGCACCACAGTCCAGCACACATCAGATGCTGCAGGACAAGGGAAGGAACCATAACTGTGGAGAACATCCACACACAAGTCACAACTGAGGTCAGAGGTGTGGCCTAACTACTGTTTCGAATGTGGGATTTGAAACATACAGAGCAGCGGCAGGGTCGAGGGTCTGGATGTCCAAAACAGGTGCCCCCACTTCAACAAGCTCATTCGGCTCAACAGAATTCTGTGCATCTGCTCCCAGGAGGGCCTGCCTCATGGAACTGGCTCAGCAGTTCCAACGTCAGCTGCTGAGGTCTCAGAGCTATCAGAGGCAGGGCACAGGCTAGGAGCAACAGCCCTTGCATCCCTGGAGTGAAGAGCAAACAGATGCTTCCCATTTAATGTAGTGAGGATGAAGCAGGTACCCATGGGTTGTGGGGCACATAGAAAAAGGCTCCAACCAAACCTCATCTGATGAGGATTGCAGGAAGTGGCAGCCCTGAAGCTGAGGCCAAAGGGGCAGGCAGCTGTTAAGAGGCCCACGGTGAGAGCTCCAAGGGCCATGAAGGGCTTGGGTCCCACGGGGTTCCAGAGGCCACCTTCCCTTTGCCCTGTGGCCACCTGTTTCCCAGCTCAGTTGAGCTATACATGATTTCTTATAGTATTTCACCTAGAGAATTTCAGAACATCCACAACTATACAATTAAAATAATTCGACTAAAACAGCAACAGGTATTTAAAAACACAGACTCCCAAATCCGGCATCAACAAAGTGCTCAGAATAAGGTAAGTGTCCTCCCTGGAAGGACTCATGTGTAGATAGCACCCTCAGCCACGAGGGGAGCTGGACAACCCTGCATCCTGCTCAGGAGAATGACACCGAGACAAGTTCCATGTGCCCCTCAGAGGGTCCCAGTGGGCTAGATCCATGGCCCGTGGCAGTCACCTGCCCATCAATGCATCTTTCATAACTCCCTCCTCCCCCACTCCCTCACACTGCTTCCTGGGATCACTTCCCAGATAAACTACTTGCACCCAAATCTTCGCCTCATAGTTTGAAAATTGAGGACAGATGTATTTAAAGATCTGTTAAAGATGCAGTGATTCCAGGGTGCCAAATCCAATCACTAAAATGCCCAAGCTGGTGTAGGAAGACATCACCCTCCAGGGTGTGGCCGGGGACGGGACCTGCTGGTTCCCTTTGGGCCAGGTGAAGGTCAAGGAGCCCCTGTGGCATGGTGGCACAGCACTGCTATAGTGTGGTTTGCAAAGGGTGTGCTGTGGTCGGTTTAGAGGTCTATTCTTCCAAGTAATCTTGAACATCTGCACAGAACAAATGTACAACTGTGCTGTCTAAAGTAAAAAAATGTTTAGGGATTGAAGGGACAGAAATAAGAGAAAGGAAAGCTGAAAGAGGCTTTTAAAAAGAGCTAAGAAAAGCTCACCGCTCTTTCTCATTTTTCAAATATGTCACAGCTGATTTGTGCCCTTAAAGAAGTTGATGACTCAAGTAAAATACTGCACATTTGGGTTCAGAGAGGCCGACATGTTCCCATTATTGTTCACCTCTCAAAGGAATGTTAAAAAGATGAGAGCCTTGAGCGCAGCACCAGCTGGTCCTATAAAGACCGACTGCACCTCATTAAATATTTGATTCCACACTCTTTGACCCTAGAGTTCTTCAAGACTGTGGCATCCGTGTATGGACATGTGCTCATGAGACAAGGCTGACACAGGAGGAGAATTTATGGTGTGCTTGGGCTTAGAAGAAATAACTGCCACATCAGGAGAGAGAGGCAGAAGGTGGTGTCAGCTGTTTATTATGCATTTTATAGACAGTGCTTTTTCATAAAACTCTTCTCATCATCAAAGAAAAGGAGAATGGTGTTAGGCAAAAATTTCTTAAACAGAACACATGAAGGAAAAAAACCATAGAGGGAAAAAATAATGAATTATACAATATTAAAATTAAGAACTTCTGTTTATCAAGACAATGGTAAGAAAATGAGAGAAGATATTTACAAAACATAAAAGATTCATAATGCATATTACTAACCACGTATTTGTATTTAGAATACATTAAACAACAACAAAAAACTTCTATAGATCAATTAAGAAAAAGACCCAGTAGAGAAATGGGCAAAAGTCCTGAATAGACACTTCACAAAAGAGAATACTTAAATGTCTAGTAAACATATAAAACAGTGCTCAGTTTCTTTAGTCATCAGGGAAGGGAAATTAAAAACACCATCAGACACCTCTACACCCCCACAGAATGGCTAGAATGCAAAAGGTGGAGAATGCCAAGTGTTAGTAAGAACCTGGCACAACGGGAATTCTTGCGTACTGATGATGAGGTTCTAACTTGGTTCAACCACTTTGGAAAACTCTCTGGGAGTAGTCATTAAACCTCGACTAGCACATTCTAATACTTGGAAATTCCAATCATAAGTATGTAACAGCAAAAAAATGTGTGTATATGCTTGCCAAAACTATTGTCAAGAGTATTCACGGCAATGCCATTTGTATTAGTTCCAAGTTGGAAACAATATAAATGCCCATCAACAGCAGAACAGAGAAACTATGGTATATTAGAACAATAGAATACTGCATGATTTCATTTACATAAAGTTCAAACATAAGAACAACAAACCCACAGTGTTGGGAGTTGGGATGGTGGTTACCTTTCTGTGGTCAGTTTAAAAATAAAGAAAAGGTGAGCGCACAGCAAAGGAGACATTAGAACCACAGGCCCTGACCCGAGCTCAGCCACCAGCATAGCTCTGCGTGCCCAAGCCACAGTCACTGCTCTTGCAATTTGTTTTCACTACCAGACAAAGGGGGTGACTACACAAACACTTGCAGTCACTGATGCCTTCTAGATCCACAGCCGGCATTCATGTCACGCTTTGCAAATGACCAAATGCTCCGACACCTGCCATCTGGAGCCTCACGACAGCCCTGGGAGACAGGTAGGATGGGGTTTTCTCTGCTTTTTCCACTTTTCCAATGAGATGTTTGTGGAGGTCATGGGGCCCATGCTGATTCAGAAGTACAAGACTCCCAAAGAAGAGAACCAAAATAATGTAACAGAAACGGTACTGGAATATAAATTTAAGACCCTAACCTGAAATGAAGGAAGATCTTAGTCTCAGATTGAAAAGCAAAATCCTGTTATAGAAAAAATGGGAAAGAATGATGAACCCAGGGGTATGTCCTGATAAAGTTACTGGATTTCAAAGACAAAGCAGAACACCTTTTGGGTGCCCAGGCAAAAGGATTGAGTCATGGATAATGGGGAGAGAGATCTGGCTGTGTGCAGATGTTTCCAGAAGTGGTGGGTGAGACTGACAAAGACATAAGGACAGACAGAACACGAGGCCCAGTTTATATCAACTGAACAGCTACTCAAGTATGTAGGTAACAGAAAGACATCTCTGGACTTACAAACTGTTAACATTCTTTTTTGGAGAAAATACCAGAGAACGACCTTCAGCCAACTAAGAAATGATTGGTGAACCTACAGTAAATGAACTAGCAGTCAGCACTGATCAAAATTGTGATTGAAACCAGTGTGGGGATGGAGTTAGACAGAAGAATACACACGACGGAATCCTGGACACAACAGAAATGGTACGGAGAGGCACAGGCTGGGAAGAAGGTAGGCTGCGGCAGGAACAGTGGGAAGTAACCTTGATATATACCAGTTTATCTTTTCTAGTTGCGGGAAGAGCAAAACTATAAAAAGGTATGTATTAAAAACTGAAATGTAAGAACTTTTAAAGGCACAATATTAACCATGAAGAAAAATAATAAACTTGAGGGAGGAGAGAATTGGAGGGGCTTGGAGGTGGCAATGTGACTATTTCAGCATGCTCAGAGAGTGGTACCCTAAAAAGAAGGGTGACTGATGTACATTCTGCTTTCAGAGACTGGTGGATTAGACACTCTGTGGGAGGCAGCGCTGCTTTTCCAGTACGAAACAGCTAGATACTGTAATAAAACGTAATTCTTATTGCTGAGCTCACCAGAAGTTAAGAAAACAATCAAGGAAGCAAATACAAATACACACACAGCTGTATTTATACATACATGCAAAGACAATTTAGGTTCCCTGAGGGCAGGTGCTAGTCTTGGCATTGCAGTTAAGAGAATAAGTCTGGGGCTGGCAGCAAGGTCAGGGGCTCTACCTGAAACACCAGGTTAAACTAGGGAATCTAGAAGAATGCTTGTCAATTCTGGAAAGGTAGGTGACAGCCCCTGGCTTCTGTTCTTTTGTAGGAGAGCAACCACCAGTTAGGCTCTCAGAACTCCATGGCCATGTGCAATAAAATGTAAACTCACATTTAACTATGCCAACTTCAGTGATGGCCGGCCGAAAAAACAAAAGATTTAAACTGTCAAGGTGTTTAGATAATACAATGATCAGATACGGTATGTACAGTAGCTATAAAATGTTTAAAGAAATAGATGACATTTCAGATCACATAAACAAGCTAGCAGCAAGATACTATTGAATATGACAGGGTAAATTTGAAAAAGAAATCAGAAGGAACATTTAAAAATTAAATATATAATTGTTGAAGGAAATTAACACGGCTGTGGTGGCCATGAGTGTGCCACTGCACTTCACCTGGGCAACAAGAGTAGGACTCCAACTCAAAAAAAAAAAAAAAAAAAAATTTAAACATAAAAATGAAATAATAAGAGTACTTGAATAAACCTGGAGAGTTAAATTTATTTACAGTCTAGGAAAGGAAAAGATCTTTCTAAGCATGGTATAACACTCAGAAGCCCTAGAAAGAGATATTATTTCACTTTATATACACATACATTTCTGCTTGACACACGAGGGGAGACATCCCCCCCCGCCAAAAAAAAAACACCAGAATTATATTTTGGAGGGTGGGCCCCTTGTAGTACACTCAGAATTTTTTCTCCAGATCAAACGGTCAACCAAAGTTTCTTATCTGGAAGTATTGAGAAGGTTGCATCATGATTTGCAGAAGAAACATCCCGAATTGTGGCAAATAGACAACTGGTTCTTCCATCA